TTCGTTTAAGTAGAACTAAAACTGAATACATGGAATGTAATTTTAGTAGTAATAGCTCTAGTGACAAAAGTGTGACTTTGGGTGATCAACTTATTATTAGGTGTGAACGATTTATATATCTTGGGTCCGTTGTTCAAAGCGATGGTGATATAGATGGGGATGTTAATAGTAGAATTCAAGTTGGTTGGTTGAAGTGGAGGAATGCTTCGGGCCTTTTGTGTGATAGAAAAGTACCGCTAAGACTGAAAGGAAAATTTTATAAGATGGTGGTGAGACCTGCAATGCTCTATGGCGCTGAATGTTGGCCTTTAAAAGAGAAGCATAATAATAAGTTAAGTGTTGCCGAGATGAGAATGATTAGGTGGATGAGTGGCTTTACACTTAGAGACAAAATGCGGAATGAATATATTCGTGATAGGGTTGGTGTAGCTCCTGTGACAGACAAAATTAGAGAAAGTCGTCTTAGATGGTTTGGTCATATTAAACGTCGACCATTAGATGATCCGATTAGGAGAGTAGATGTTTTAAATTCGACTTGTGTTAAGAAAAACAGAGGTAGACCTAGGAAGACTTGGGCTTATTGTATTAAAAATGATCTTAATTTACTAGAACTAAATGAAAATATGATACTAAATAGGACGCAATGGAGAAAAAGGATTCATGTAGCCGACCCCACATAGTGGGATTAAGGCTTTGTTGTTGTTGTTGTTGTTGTTGTATTGTAAGAATGATATGTGTGCAAAACATTATAAGTATATTGTCTGATATGCAAATGTGAATGAAATATATTTTTAGTAAATAATGAATTTAATAAAATATTTGTATGTGCATGACTGATTATGTTGAAATCACCCATTGATAGTACTAGTGGGAAAACACTAGGTTAAATGTGCATGTATATATAAAAGAAAATTGATATTGATGTGACTTAATTTACATAATTTTTATACGGTGTTCCTACGACAGTTGCACATATATAAAATGACATTAGTATGATATTGATATAGTAATGCATTAAATAACATGTCAAATGTTTATATTAATTTATTAAAAGTTTAACTGACTTACAGTTAGCTTTCTTTTTCCTTGTATTGTTGTAGTTTAAGAATATGAATACTCACTGGCTTGTTAAGCTCACAGTTATTTTAAACTAATATTTCAAGTTTAATTAAGTGATTTAAAAATGTGCGATAAAAGAGAAAAAGTTCATAAGATGCAGATAATCAGTAATGAGGTAATTTTAAGTATAATATTTTAATTTAATTTAATTAGTGACTCTTTCATCTGTTAGATTATAGATATATACATAAAATTTAGTTCACATTGTTCGACTGTTTGTTTCTGTCTTGATTAAATTCCAAGCTCAGGATCGGGTCGTGATAATAAAAGACAGAAAGTGGGTAGATTCTTATGTATTATGAAATTTACATACATAACACAAAAGACTTATATATTTAAATATTCAACACCTAAAGTTTAATATTTACTTATATAACATAATCACATTAAATCATATTCATGAAAAATGTGTATTCTAATTTTTTAAAAAATAGTATTAATATTCTGATGTGTTATATAAATAAATATTAAATTTTAGATGTTAGATATACAAATTAATAAGAATTAAATTTTACGTATGTAAATATTTCTTTTTTTTTCATATTAAATTTTAAAAAAAACAACTTATCATGCACCATGAGGGCGATGCATCATGCGTGATTGCTCATACATGATGCAACTAGCGCGTGCCATTTTGATGCACCGTCGTACCATGCAAATGGCGCCGAGCGTGCATCGTGCTGCACCATGCGCCATGGCGCATGCTATTTTGTGTCATCGATATGTACTTCATCAGCTTTCACTTGTTTGATACAAGAATAAAGCATAGAGGTGTTCGTAAATCACATATCAATTCTTCTATCTTTCGGTTCTTCACTTTCTTTTGTCCTCTTTATCTTCTTAATTCCATCAACTTCCACCCTACAAAGTTGCTTTCAATAGCTTCAAATGAAACATAGCATAAGAATCCATTGCCCATAGGTCTAAACTCCAAGTCATCAAGGAAACACGGTACAATTGCATCTCTAGTGGAAGTGTTCTGCTACAGGGTAAATCAAAACCCTTCAAAATCAATCTATTTCCCTTGATAATATCAAAACTTTCATGATTCTCCACAGCTGATTTGAAAATTATTCATTTCTAAGTTCCTTAATATGCTTCCATTTTAAAGATTTAGGTTTCTTTTTTATAGAATTTATTAAGATTTCATTAATTGCTTTTAAACAATTGTAGTTAGATCATATTCTTTGCATAGCATATTTTTAAATTCATTAGACTGCATTGTATCTCATCATAGAGTGCCTTAGGGCGGTCCTATTTTAAAAATAAATAAATAAATAAATAAATAAATAAATAAATAAATAAATAAAAGTTGTGCTCATTATAACCCCACATTTCAAGAACAAACTGATCCTTTACAAGCAAATTTGAATTAAAATCTTAATTAGATAATGAAAAAAATCGAGAGAAGTGATCTTCTTCAATAGTCATTATAGAAAAGTGAGAAAAAACTAAACTTACCTCATCTTCCTGAAGATCTTCATCAACCGTATCGTCTACCTTCTTGTTCAACATTTCTTTGACAATAGATGGAGGAAGTGGTTTGGGAAGTAGCTTTATAGCTTCACCAACATTGGACTGCATGAGATGAAACAGACCACATTAACATAGTTCAATGGAGTAAAAGCAGAATAGAGTACTCAATTTAGCGGCTAGCCCACTCATGCAAATTGAAGTGCAAAAAAAAAAAAAAAAAAAGGCTTCAAAAATGAAAAAATAAAAGCATGTCCAACAGTATGCCAACCAAATTCATATCTTATCATTTTAGACCTGAAAAGCCTGATAAACAGACCCTCATTTCAGAATGGGCCAGCCTAAAGGCCCTACACTCCATAGTGGTTTCTTCCCTTGGTCATAATTGATGGGTAAACTTAATCACACGTATTCTAAGTCCCAATTGGAAATTCCATAATTTATGATTCCTATCATAGATGCTTGACTAAACACAAGACAAGTGGCAGCCCTGAGATATCCAGAAGCTATTAGGGTTTATGCAAGGTCCAGTAATCAAAACTAAGTTAATACAACAATTAGTTTAAAAAACTAGCTTTGATTTAGCATTGCTAACATCACCATTCCTAAACCATACTGGTACGAACAGCCAGACAAGTCATTTCCGTAATGGTTTATGCATAGAAATCTAGACAATGACCAATATAATACAAATTTTTATAAAAGCAAAACTGTCAAAATCTAGACGTGTACTAACAATCTTAAAATAAATAAAATCAGTGCATGGCAAAGGGAACTACAGTACTAAAACAGTCAAATCTTAAGCCAATTCTCTTCCTAAATGGTAGCGAGTAAAGGCATAGAAAGAATTTTAAATTGTTTTCCTTTCATCAATAATAATTCTGAATCCAGAACTGTTATGAATGTTTATATAGTATGTAAACATAATTTATCATAAAACTAAGCTGATATAAAGCCAATTTTAACTTTAGTCGAGTAAAGAGACTTGTAGATGATCATCACTTATTCAGGAAGGAAAAAAGATAAATTCCAGCTGGATCATCTAGCTTTGAAGTCTAAGAATTGGCCACCACAAAAAGGAGTATGAGGCCGCGAGCATTAGAAAACTGTATCGACTAAATGATGGGAAATAGAAATGGAAAACATCTAAACGATCTAAATGAAATCTCTCACAATAAATCAAATCACGAGCTGGAGTATTTTATGTCAAATACTTCATTATGTCAAGTGGCATTATACATAAGTAGGAAAATAACGGTCAGACCACCCAAAATTTTCTTATTTATATATCTAACACCTTACCCAAAAACTGTATTGACAAGTCCATGTATTTGTGCATGCCACAATCAGCACATTAAGAATTTAAAGAAAACCAAAAATATGGGTCGGGGTTTGTTGTGCTCTTTGAGATTTTAAGTGTTATTATTGTAATTGAAGATAGTTAGATGTTGGTTTTATCAATAGATAAGATTTAGATATTACACATATAATTTTATTAGCTTTCAAATACTAAAGATGTGTCTTTAGTCTAAGGATGTTCCACAAATTGAAAAAAAATATATAAAAATCTTATGTTAAGAAAAAAATTGTAAGCTAGAAATTTGAATTTTCGAACTGCACTTAGGATTCATAGAATATAGCATTTTGCTGCCTACTGCTTTCTTGAATGGCAAAAGAAATTTTAGTATTGAAGACTGAAATTTCGCTCAGAAACTTTTAGTCAAATTATCAGTAAACATATCAACTTGGGCCATTTTCAAGTGAATTCCAAGCATATTTCAAGCCAATTTCAAAGCAAAATACGGCTCTCTAAAATTATGATTCAAGTTAAATCAAAACATATATCGTAATAAATTTTATTCATGTGCATGCTTTCAATCAAAACTAAATAGTTAAATTTGATTTCACTTGAAAAGGCAAAGACAGAGGGGTTCCAATTTCACCAAGCTTTTGACAACAAAGAACAAACACTGGAGGCAATTCGTAGAAGAGCAAATTAGAAGAGATAGACACTAGAAAATCTAATAACGACTCCATAACATCTATTTAAGGAAATACACTTACAGTTGCACTTTTCAGGAATTCAGAGAATTATTCCTCAGCAACAAAAGGCATTAAACTGACGCTTAAGACTTGTTTGGGATCATTTTTGTTTTTATTTATTTATTTGCTTTTATTTTGAAAATATATTTATTTAGTGCATCCTTTCATGCTTTTGTATTTCATTTTTAAAAACACTCAAAAAACAAAAAAGATGTTTTGAGTGTTTTTAAAAACAACTAACCATGCTCTAACATAACAAACATATTTGTTTCAAGCATTAACAAAACAAATCAAAAACAAAAAACTAAAAACTAAAAGTGATCGCAAATTGCCCCTTACATTCAATAAAGCAAATGCTGATTGGATCAGCCTCCAAGTAAAAGTTCATCAAGATGGTCAACGACAGAAACACAAAAAACATGAAATCTAATATAAAAGCAAAACAGCGGCAAATTTTAGCTATATGCTAAAATATTCAGGAAGATATATACTTTTTATGATTACAAGAGAAGCAACGCATATTCAGGAGAATAAACAAGTCATTCACTCATTAGAAACAGCGGCAATAAACATAGATGTCATATTGATTGTCAAATATTAATACAGATTGCTGATGTCATCAACCTCTGTTCACCAAACAGCCTAAAAACCTAAAATTCACTTAATGGAAGTGCCGATTAAAGTAAACAATGATATAAAACAAAGAGGAGTGCTCCCAACTAGAAGTAATTAGGGAATGTGCCTTTACTGTCCTGCAAAGGGAAGGATAGTTTTGAAATATACCAAGCCAAGAATCGCATGGCGAAGATACTTGTGTGGAGATAATTGCAATCAGACTAGTACAAATAACGCTTAAGAAAGAATTCAGCATGAAATTCAACTTCAGAAAAGGGAAGTTGTAACCAAATTTCCATCCTGAAGGATATTAGCGTAGTAGCATACATGAGTTTCTTGAGTCAACCCACTCTGTATCCAAGACCGGCAAAGAGTGTATAAGGAGGGCGATGCACCATCCACAACCCTAACCTTCAATGAATAGTAAATATAGAAAAAAAAATCAATAAATATAATGTGATCATAGATAAAACTACACATTAGTATTCAAATTTCTCATGTAATTTGATTTTCAGTTCGAGAAAAAATGGTCCAAAAGTCGATCATATGGTTCATATATGTTCTAAACAAAAAGTATAGCCAACTAGAAAATAAAAGCCACTGGAGCAACAGTTCTTCTATTTTGTTCTTATTATACCACAGCAACAAAAAGGAATATGCTTCAAAAATACATTTTATGTCATCCTTATCATACGCCATTCACCTTAGTCCATCTCTATAAACTTTCCTAGTTATATTTCTTCTCTTTCCCCATCAGATACAATTTTTTTTATCAATTATGCAACTAATTATAGGAGTAATCAACAGTATCATTATTAACAAAGTCTGTTTGCATTCATCCATTTTCATAGCAGAAGGGTGTACTGGGCTTCGGTGTTTCAGTGGCAAGCAAACCTAAAACTTACAGTAAACTACTAAACTATAGATTTTCTGCATTGGATAACTGTTGAACTCATTTTTGGTGAGGTCTAGTCTTCCTCTTAGGATTTAGGATCTAGCCTTAGGGACCTCCCTTCGACTATCTTAGAACCTTAGAAATGGGACCCGCCTTGTTCTAGAAATTCAACCCACCTCTGTCCTCTTTTGTGGTTTCGCATGTGTGGTGTCAACTTATAGCATTTAGAAGGGTGAAACCAACATGAACAAACCCAAAAGGGATTCCCTATAGGACCTTCCTGAGCCTTAGGGTGGCCTTTTGCACAATTCGCACTCCCGCGCGCACAAACTTCGCAATTCGGAAAGTCGGCGCGTCCGATCGCCTCAAATTCGCTTCATTTGCACTGTTACTTTTCGAATGCTCGAGTTAACCTTTTGAAACGATCGATCGTAGATCAAAATTTTGTAAAATTTGAATTTTAACGCGTTTTTAACCCGATTGTCGGCGACGTCGTCCGAGCGACCCCGGATGACGAAACGGACTGCGCCAACGCGTCTAGAACGTCGATTTTGCCCGGGGAGGACACCCATTTTGTCGCGTTGCCGCGCGCGAGTAAATTGTGTTTTAATTAATATATATCAATATATATATATATATTTATATTTATATATATATTAATTAATCCTTAAACCAATTTCCCCCTTTCCTCTTTAAGCCCTAACTCCTCTAACGCATGCACCCGAGCTCTGTCTCCTTTCTTTCTCCCGTTCGCGTGTCTGGCTCTTTCACTATCTCGTTCCTTCTCCCGTTCGCGTGCCTAGCCCTTTCCCTTTCTCGTTCTCGAGCCGACCAAACTCTTCCTCCTCCGCGCGAGAGAAGGTTGACCTCGTTCGTCCTTGCCTGACATTCTGCTGCTCGCGGCCATCCTTCCCGAAGCCGTGTCAGTCTCCTTAAGCTGTGGTTTTTCCTTTTCTTGGTAGTTTGACTCTGGGAAGATTGTTCTCTGGTACACTTGAACGACAATATCCTCTCTTCTTCCTGATGCTTCCCTCGCTGCTACTGGGTCCGAGATTTTTCGGTTGCTCGGTCCGAGAGGCTTCGGTGGCTTCGCCCTCTGTGAGCAGGGAGCGTGCCCTTTTCTTTTTGCCCCGATTCGAGTGTCGTGGGTTCAAGGGGTGACTGGGGGGTGGTCTTCTTTCTCTTCTCCTCTATTCTCTGTCTATAAACACAGTTCCTTTTGAAATTTTGAGGGTTATTGTTGAGAAAAGTTTTTCTGAGAGGAGTGGAAATTTTGGCTGGGGGGGGATTGGAAAGGGAGTTTCTGGGAGAGCATTTCTTTGAGGTAGTTTCTTGTGTTGTTGTGTTTTACGTTTGCATTGAGGAGGTACCTCTTCTTCCCTTTCTTTCCTATGCCCTGGTTTCCTGAGGTTTTCTCTCTGTCGAGCCTCCTCTTGCTCGGTTAAATGGAGGATACAGCATGCTAGTTCATTTTATTTGGATATATTTTT